GGCGGGTGGCGACGCACCCCTGTGAGTGTGGAGGACGAGATGTGAGCAGGAATAAAGGGTCAGCCGCGGCCGTTTCGGGAGTCCGGCTCTAGCCTCCCATCTGTGGTGGCTCCTGGAGTTCCTTCCCTGATCCCCAGCTTTCCCTGATGCCCTCTGCAGAAACTACAGGAAATGGAAGACCTTGACCACAAGAGGATTGAGGAACTTAGGAAGGCTCTTGCCACCACTTAATCTGCCTCTGGAGGGGGGCGGGGGAGCCCACCCCCTTGCCAAGCAGGGTCACCCCCAGGTCAGCCCACCCACCCCGGCCTTCAGCCACGTAAATGGTTGTATAGCACTGCCCCCACCTAGGGCACCCTGGACATAGCACCCCAGAAAATGGACCACGTCTCAGAAAATGAGCTGATTCTCTTGAGACTCTGCCCAGGGATCCTCAGTCAGCTGAGCCTCTGAGACCAGTCACAGATACAGACACATACACACACACACAGTCTTTTCTTGGGGAAAGAGCCACACACACAGTGAAAGCAAGGATCTCACCATCTTGGGTGTATGTCTAAGGGCATCCACTGGGCTCCCTTCCCACGGCCTCACCCACTGCGTGTCCCTGTGTCCGGCACATTAGGTTTTCTGAACTTAGTAATGAATATGATTCCTTTCTTCCTACCTGTCTTAGGACCTACTTATTTGACTTCTTACAGCTTTGGGCAGATATTTAATCACTATGATTAACAGGCTAATAAAACACATTTAACGTAGATCATCACGCACACCATTTTGTTTTCAGAGGGATAAACCTTATTTGTTCAAGGAGTTAGAATTTTTCAAGCCCAGTTGGTTTCTAGCTGTTTTGCACATTTCAAGTGAAAATGGAACGAAGGCTCCCGGAGCACCCCACGGCCGGGCACTACAGCAGGTGCCGGTGTCACTCTCGGCTGACTCTCAATAAATGCCTGTGATGGTTCATTATCCCTATGTGAAAACCAGGGCTCACCAAGATGCTATGACCAGAGTCATTTAACTAGCAAGTAGCCTACTCAGGATTAAAAGTTAGCTTTCTGTCTTTCCACCAAACGCACAGCCCATAGAAAGAAACCCAAAGGGGTGGGAGGGACCCAGACTGAAGGGGTCCTGCTTTGGAAGTCCACTCCCAGCCTGTGCGGTCTGAGCCCAGCAGCCTCATCTCCGATGGCTCGCCTGTGCGGCCTGCCTCAAAGGGCTGCTGAGGAGACATCCGCCCACAGGAGCAGCGCCCCAGGCCTGGCGCACAGCACACGGCAGTCCCCATGTCTTGACAACCACAAGCCTTATGGTCTCCAGTATTCTGTCATTTTTCTGTCCCCATAAATCAAAGTATTTCAGAAATTTCAACCAACCATCCCACTTGGAGGGATTCATATAATCCTCTCAGGCCACATGACCCAAGTTTGGGTTTGCAGAATAAACATGGCCCTGCAGCCTCAAACAAATAAACAGAGAGGACCAGATCAAGGGCTGGGCTCTGTAACATTCCATGAGAAGCCTGTATCCACACACCCTCCAGAACCTGAGGGCCAAGGGTGCAACATGATGAGGACAGCCGCCCTCCACCTCGAAGGCCCCAGCACGTGGCCCAGGGGCAGCGAACCAGAGAACCCAGGACAGCCCAGGACAAAGTCAGCCCACCCGTGACACCACAGCAGCCTGCCCTTGATTTAAATTCGGATCAGTTGCCAACATTTACAAATCACACACACGCACCACCTGGATTTCCAGTTTCTCTTGAAAAATGGAAAGATCTGGCCCCACTGGGCCCACATCCCACAGGCTACAGTCGACTTAAATGAGGAAGAACTTCCCCTCTAGTTGCGGCGTATCCACCCCCATTCACCCCAGTCCCCACCACCCAGGTGTCGGGCCGTCCCTCAGGACACACCCAGCCTGGTTCACGTGCGTCACCTGCCGCTGGAGTTGGTGACCCCAGCTGCAGGTCAACAGGCATGTCAGGAAGGAGGCGGCCGGGGGCTGCACACGCGCGGGAGCCACCTGTCCCTGCAGAGGAAGGGGTCCTGCCCAGGGGGCAGGCAGTGAGGGCCAGGGCCCCCAGCGGTGGACAGCCCCTCCACGCCCTCCTGGGCAAGCAGAGACGCTGGCCTCGAGGCCTGGCAGAGGCAGGGAAGAAGGCAGGCCTGGCGAGGGGAAGGCGCCTCGAGGCTGCAGGGCACTGGCGACTGAGGTGGTCTCCATTTATTGTCGGGGAGGAAAACCCTCTCAAATTAATACAGTGCAACCTCTCCCCATAGGTGTGCTGAGGGAAGGGGGCCCTAGAGGCACCCCGGAAATAGCTTACAACAACAGTGCTTTGACCAAGAGCTGCTGGGCACACTCCGTGGGGGGAAGGTGGTGGGCCCCATCGGCTCCTCCGCTCCCACAGCCATCCCAGGGGCTGAGCGACCATGAGTCCTTCGGCAGCAACAAGTCGGGAGAGAACAGACAACAGACGAGTGTGAGAAGACAGGCTGGCGATGACCTCCCGGGAGTGGGTCCACTGTGCCCCAGCCCCGGGGTGGCGGGGAGAGCCTAAAGGAGGGGCCGGGCTGCAGTGTGGTAAAGGACCAGGGTTAGCACCTACGGCAGCAGCCCCGCCTGCTGCTGATCTGGCAGAGGGGCAGGGGCCAGAACTGCAGCTGGGGCCTCTGCCTCCCCGGGACCCTCCTTGCAGGGGCTCGGCACTCGGCTCCCACCCACCCCGGCACGGTGTCCTGGACAGGGAGACCTCCTACAGAATGAGGGGAGATGAGGGAACCTCCTAGAACTCTGAGGAACACAGGGAGGGATCTGTCCAGGCCCATTCGTGTCTGAGGACACAGTAACTACCTCAAACTTAATTAAGAGACTTCATAAATAGAGGTCCTGAGTGAGGAGAAAGAGAGTCAGGGCCGCCTGCACCGAAAGGAAGACAGGGACTCAGAACCAGGGCCGGGGTGGGAGACCCAGGCCAGAGGTCCACCCCGGGCCCACCTCGTGGGCAGGAAGACCCAGAGACTCTGGCAGGTACGGCTCCCCTCTGCACGTGGCACAGAAGGGAAGAGGAACCAAGGAGCTGCCCGGCACGCAGGCCACGTGCTGGGTGGGACGAGGGGCGGGTGTGCTCGGCTGTGGCTGCTCCCCAGACCCAGGAGCCGGCTCGCTCCCTGGGTCAGTCACAGCATCTGGGGTCATCACAACCAGGCTGGGCAGGGCTGAGGCGTAGCTGCCGGGGGCTCAGAGGAGAGGGAAGAAAACTCTTTGGCCCAGAGGAGCCAGAGGACCCTGAGGAGGGAGAGGCCATCACCCAGAGGCTCCCTCCCCTTAAGTCATCTTTCCCCTCAACTGATCCTGAAGGGAAGCTGGGCGTCCCTGGCAGAGCACAGCCCGGGGGCCGAGCCAGGAGCGGTGGAGTCCCCAGCTGGCAGCCCACGCTGTTAGCTCTTGTCTCCCAGGGACTTGCTCTTGGTATCACGCTTGTTTCCTAGCAGCTTCAGCACCTTCATGGTCTTGAACTTCCCCTTCTTCTTGCCCTCGGGTTCAGCCTCCTTCTGGAACTCTGCAGAAGGGAGAGGGGAGTCGATGGGGGAAGGTCGGGGGTGGTGGTGATGGCCTAGAAGCGCCGGCCAACAGGCTCAGCCCACTGCTACCACCTCTCCTGGAACCGTGGGCACGCCCCTTCACCTTTCTGAGCCTCGGGTTCTTCGTCTCTGGGACGGGACCCTACCCCTTCCCAGGGTTTTGGCAGGGATCGGGAGACGAGCGCCCGTGAAAGCAATGGGGGAGCCCTACAGCATGGCAGACATTCATCTCTAAAAGGCTCGGTTCCCGTAGGCTGGTGCTCACAGCTCTGTGGGTTACAACACGAACACTGACTGTCAGAGGTAGAAGAGACCTCAGAAATCATCTCGCCCAGCCCCTAACTTATTATGGATGAGGAAAATGTGAGTTTTGAAACAGACTAACACCAACCGAGCTTTTTGCAGGTGCCAGGCCCTGGACTAAGTGCTTTATACACATTACCTCAGTCATCCTCAGCACATGCCCGGGAGGTGGGAGCCTCCATCACCCCCATTCCACGGACAAGGAGAGCGAGGCCTAGAGGGGTTAAGTGGCTGGCTCAAAGCCACCCAGCTGGGAAGTGCCAGAGCTGGGACTGGAATCCAGTCTAACTGGAGCCCAGACTTAACCGCAAGGCCACAAAATGAGTCACTGGTGGAACCAAGATTAGGCCCAGGGCTCATGCCTCCCAGTCCAGTGCTCTCTTAACCATTCTAGGCATTATCGTATCTGCGGGAGGGCCTGCTGTTTGGTCCCACAGACCCCTCCTAGACCAGCTGCAGACCTCAAGGAGGAACGCACAGTTTAAGGCAGACGCGCCCTGGGAAATGCTCCCACATGCCAGCGTCCTCCCTGTGGGCACCAGGGCATCCCACACCCACTCTCCTGGCCGTAGGCTGACCTGCCTTGCTACACACGGCCTTCTTGGCAAAACAGGGGCTAGGAGTTTGCACACACCGTCCCTGTAGTGCCCACTCCAACCCTCTGTTCAACCTAACCCCCACCCTCCAGGAGTTCAAGTGGGCCAGAGCCCCAGGAGGGGCCTCACCTTTCTTCTTGATCATGGCTTCCAACATCTTATCTTCCTCTTCCTCCCTGAAATGAGAAAGGGAAGCTGAGTGTCCCACGGGAGGAAGGTCGAGGTAATCTCTCAGGCCCCTCCAGACTCCGAGTCCACGCAGGCGGCGCTGGGATGCCTGGCAGTGAGGGCCCCGCCCCCAGGAAGCCCCGGGGAACCCCTCCCCCAGCCACGTCACCTCTGCCGGTCCTCATCTAGGCAGTTGACGATGGCGTTGCGCTGCTCGATGAGGGTCACAAGCTCCTGCATCAGCACCTTCTCTCGGCCCCGGTCCTGTTCTGTCCAGTCCTTTTCTGCCCAAGGAGAAAAGTTCGGGACATGAGTCCCAGGAAGCGAGGAACTAACGCCCAAGTGCTAAGGGTGGCTGCAGGCCAGCCCCACGCTGGACACTCTGAGGGAGGGGGCCCAGATGGGTGGGGATTACAAATTTTTGGAGAAATGAAGGTTGTCATAGGAGGGACCAAGGATACCAGTCTGCCTACAAAAAAAACTCTCCAAGGGGGCTCCGGGAGGTCCAGCACAATACGTGTTCTGAGAACAGAGAACAGCACGTGCCAAGGAGTTTCCTGCTACGTTCATGCACTCATTCAACAAATGTTCACTAGATGGTTTCTCGGGGGAAGGATTCAGGCTGGGTCTGCTGAGAGCCTCCAATGGCGAGCTGGCCAGAGTGGGGCAGGGGTGGGGAGATAACAGGGAACCCCAGGGGTCCTCATGCAGGAGAAGCAATGTGACCCAAGGGGCATATTGGGACATTCATCTAATGCCATGAAGGAGGGTGGACTAGAGGGGTTCCTGGGGGCAGGGAGCCCTGCCAGGAGGTGTCCCTGATGTCTCAGACACCTGCTGCCCCTCCAGCCTCCTCTCAAGAACCTGAGCCATCCTACGGAACCACCCTCAGAGGCCCACCTGCACCTTGGTATTCCTCTCACCCAGCCCACAGGCTCCCAGGGGAGGGATGCCCACACTTGACCTTCCCTCCACAACATCTGCCCCTACCACCTCCTCTTGCCAAAACTGGAACCGTTGACCCAGCATAGTCCTGGGGACAACGTGGGTTTCAGAGTCACCACCCCAGTTCAAATCCTACTCTGCTGCTTCCCAAATCTGGGGCCTGGGTAAGTTATGTCCCCAAACTACATGTGGGAAAACCAAGGCTTGCGGAAGTTAAGTCCTTGACCAGTGTCACACAGCAAGGGTGGAGCCAGTGCTTGTACCGGCCAGCCTTGGAATGCTTTGATCCAAGCTACAGCCCTTACGGTGTCTTATGGATCTCCAGCCCACCTGGGAGCTTATAAACCAGTCTCACCCTCCAAAGGCAACAACCAGGACAGGATGACAAGCCCCGACGTGTTGCCACCACACAGAGGACTGGAGAAGCAACACAAAAAGCCCAGGGCCAGGCTGGCCTGGGGTACAGAGGTGCTGTCCCCACTTAGACCACAAGGTGTCGCTGCGGCTTCCTCTGAGTGGCGGCCACGCCCCAGCCTCCAGAGATTTGGGAGTGATTCATAGGTGGCAGCAAAGAGCTGGGACATTCTGTGACTTCCTCAGGGACACTCCTGCCTCTGGGTCACATCCAGCCTCCCAAGTTCCCTGGTCAGTGGAAAAGCAGGGCCACTGTCCCAGCCAGCAGGAGGGGCTGCGTGTGCAGGGACATACCCAAGTCAGAGACATGGCTAGAAGCCCAGCTCCACCACCAATGTGCAAGACTCTCAGCCTCTCTGGCTCTTCATTTCCTCATCTGTTAAATGGGAACAACGATTCCTACCACCTGGGCCAGAGGAGGTGGTCAAAAGCCCTGGCTCCAGCCTCTGGACACTCCACAGTCCTGTGCTCTCTCTCAGCCCACAGCTGTGCTCACCCCATGTCATGGCCAGACCCCCAACTCAGCCACATAATAACCATCAGCCATCAGCCCCTCATAGGGCACAGAGTGTTTCCACGTGCACCAGCTCCTGGGCCTTAGAATACCCTCCCAGGCGGGCACCTTCATCCCTGTCTTACACATGAAGCCACTGAGGCTCGGTGGGGCTAAGGAAGCCGCCTAAGGGCCCCCAGCAAGTTAGCGGCAGAACGCAGGGCTGTGTGACTCCACACCCTATCCTCCCATGGCCCCGCTCCATTCTCAGCACATCCCGTCCCTCCCTCCCGGAGTCACCCTGAGCCACGCTGTGCAGGGGCACCTTCACTGGCCCTCCCCCCACCAGCAGAGCCCTGCCATGCTCTGGCCTAACAGCCATGAGCCCAAGCTGCCTCTGGACAGGTACCTGTTCTCCCTCGCTCAGCAAGGCAGCCCTGGGCCCTGGAGCCTGACCCCTCCCCGCCAGGAGCCCGCCCACACCTTCCAGGAGAGGAGGGTACCAAAACAAGCCAATTGAGACTTCCCTGGTGGCACAGTGGTTAAGAATCCGCCTGCCAATGCAGGGGACACGGGTTGGATCCCTGGTCCGGGAAGATCCCACATGCTTTGGAGCAACTAAGCCCATCCGTGCACCACAACTACTGAACCCGAGTGGTGCAACTACTGAAGCCTGCACGCCTAGAGCCCTTGCTCCACAACAAGAGAAGCCACCGCAATGAGAAGCCCGTGCACCGCAACGAAGAGTAGCCCCCGCTCGCCACAACTAGAGAAAGTCCACACGCAGCAACAAAGACCCAATGCAGCCAAAAATAAATAAAATTTAAAAAAATATTTAAAAAAAATACTTTATAAAAAAAAAAAGGGGGCTTCCCTGGTGGCGCAGTGGTTGAGAGTCTGCCTACTAATGCAGGGGACATGGGTTCGAGCCCTGGTCTGGGAGGATCCCACATGCCGCGGAGCAACTGGGCCCGTTGAGCCACAATACTGAGCCTGCGCGTCTGAAGCCTGTGCTCCGCAACAAGAGAGGCCGCGATAGTGAGAGACCCGCGCACCGCGATGAAGAGCGGCCCCCACTTGCCACAACTAGAGAAAGCCCGCGCGCAGCAACGAAGACCCAACACAGCAAAAATTAATTAATTAATTAATAAACTCCTACCCCCAACATCTAAAAAAGAAAAAACAAGCCAGTCTGCTCCGGGTCTCGGTGTTCTCTGCAGGCCTGTCATCCCAACACCACAGATGTCACAGCCCCACACTGGCCATGCTGTTCCCTCTCCCATCTTGGCTTGAGCTTATTTTTCACCTGTTATGACCCAGACAGCACCTCCTGCCCTGTTCCCAGACTCTGCCTGTGCATCCCCATCAGGGCCCGGTCTGTCCACTCCCCAGCCCACTCCTCCATGCCACCAGGCCCCAGGGCAGGTGTCTGGGGAGTGGGTGTGGCCACACTCACCTGGCTTGTTGAGAAGGCACCGGAGCTCATACTCCACGTCAGCCTGGCGTTGCTCCAGGTTCTGCTGCTTGAAGCTGGAAGGTGGGAATAAGGTGACTGTTAGTTCTGCGGCTGCCTGCCCTGTGCTGTCACTGATAAGGGATGAAGGTCAAGATTCCCAGTCCTAAGCTCTCTGGATCCTGGGGGGAGGAGCCAGGAGCCAAGGGGAGCAAGGACTCACACATAGATGAGCTCGGACTCCCGCCGAACCAGCAGATGCTTCTCGTGGATGAGCTTGAACCAGTCCACCAGCATGTCATCCTCACGGCCCTCTGGAAACCAGATGCCCACTGAGGCCAGGGCTGGGGGCAGTCCCCACCCTCAAAGGGGCCATGACGGCTCCTACCCTGGAAGAGAAGCTCCCCCTACCCGAGTCCCACCCGCCAGGCGCCCCGCAACCCCCGCACCGTCCACTCCACCACGCAGCTTCTCCTCCAGCAGGACCCCACGGTGCTCCAGGGTATCCAGCTGACGCTCGATGGTGTCCATCTCTCCACGGATGTCCTCCTCGGGGATGTACTGGTCAGCCTGAACCTGCCCGACAGCGCCGTTATCTGAAGGTCAGCCCGCCCGGAACAGGAGCTTCCCTATTCTCTCCGGCCAGCACTGGCCTCCACAGGCCCTGCGCCCTGGCTCTGTCCCACACCCCGGTGTGGCAAGGGATGGGTGTAGGGACAGCCACGCCCCTGCCATGCCCCTGGTCCCAGGCACGCCCAGAGGGCGATACAACTTCCTGCTTCTCTCTGGCAACTTCCTCCCCTCCTCTGCCGCTCCAGAAAATATATCACAATGTGCAAAAGTGACCCTATTAGAGAGAGAAACCTGAGAACACTCTAAACTGTTTGTCACGTGAACGCTTCAGATCCTTGAACTATAATTAGTAACAATTTAAATGCATCACCCAGTGCTTTTGGTCAGAGCAGCTAATCTGCTCAAAATCCCCCTGGCTGCAAGTTAATAAATCTCCCAGCTGGGCCTCCCAAGCATGCCCCCTCCAGCATCTGAGGGAAGCTGCCCAGGCAGCCCATCCTGTGGCAGAGTCCCACAGGAAGCCTGAGGCGGCCAAGGGAGGGGGCCCGGGCCCAGGCAGCCAGGTGTCTGGGGCTCCCAGCTATACCTTGCGTTTGATGAGCGGAAAGCCGTGTCCTGGGGCAGGCGGTCTCGCTGGCTTGGAGCCCTTGGTGGCCTTCTTTACGGTTGGGGACGCTGTGGGTGATGCCTTCCGGTTAAAAGGATTCTCCTTGCAGGAAGACTAAAGGCAGGGAGACGTGGCAGAAGATAAGTCAGGGAGGGCTCAGTAAGACCGGGGCAGCTTGATCCCATGGGACCGTGGAAAGCAGGCGGCAGGAATCAGGCAGAGCCAGAACCCCCAGCAGCCAGTCTCTGAGGAGCTCAGTCATTCAAGGAACACTTCCACTCCCCAGCGCCTCCCGTGTGCTGCTGCCGCACCGGATATTTCTCTACATTCCTGTTCAATTCTCACAACCACTCCACAAGGTGGGTAGTGTCGTGCCCATTTCACAGCTGAGTAAACTCAAGTTCAGAGAGGTTAGGTAACGGGGTCAGGGCCAGGCTCTTCCCAAGGGCCCAAGCTGCAGTGAGACTCTATTTCAGGCTGGGGCAGCCCTCCGGCGCTGGGCGCAGTGGTCAGGACATGCAGTTTAGGGTGGGACAGAGCTACAGTAGCTCATCCAGGCCTCACAACCACCCCTTTTCCAGCGGGGATTCCGGGGTTCAGCTCCTTGCCCAGCGTCCCCCAGCCAGGAAGAGCAAAAACAGGGAACCCACTATCAGCAGAGGGAGGAGGAAGGTAGCTCCCTTCCTGCCCAGGGAAGACCCCCATCCTCTGCTGCCCCCTAGCTCTGCATTTTTCTGTCCTTCTGGGGTAATCCCTGTCCTGAGGCCAGCACAGCCAGACAGGCCCCCCACTGGGACAGGACTTGCCTGCCACGTGGGCAGTGCCAGCATCTTCCAACCACCCTCCCCAGGCATCACTTGAGGCCATGGAGTGTTCCCAGGAGTATTTACCCGGCTTTCCAACAGCTGGGGGGAGGGAGGAGCCCCGCTCACCTCACCTGTGCCAGCCTGGGGGAGATTCCTTCAGGCTGGCAGTTGCTCTGGGATCTGAAGCAAGTAAAGTGCCAGGCCGGAGTCCAGGCGCAGCAGGGTGATAGTTTGGGCCCCACAGGGCAGCACCCGCCCAAGGGGCCTGCCTGTCTCCTGCCCCCAGTGTCTCGGGTTCTCTCCGAATCCTGGGGTTAGGGTAAGGGATGGGGCACCCCAGGAGGAAGTCCTCTTGGGCTCTGCCCACACCCTCCACAGTCACACCCAGAGGGGCCCAGCAGGGCCAAACAGCCCAAAGGCCCCTGAGTCCCTCAAGGGTTCTCAGCCACAGAACTCCTTCAGATCAACCTTTCACAGACCTCGGGACAGGAAACATACTGAAAGGCAGCTGCCTGTAGGGGGAAAGGGAGGGGCGTCCAAAATCAACTCCCTCCCCCACCTCCCACAGCAAGGAGCCCTGGGGCTCCTCAGAGCCTCCTGAGGCCCAGAGGTGGGATGGGCCTTCTCCAGGTCACACAGCAGGTGGTGATAGAGTTGCACAGGAGGCAGCTGCCCGGGCCAGGGAAGGTTACGTGGCATTTGAAAGGTGCACAGACCAACAGCTCAGGCTCCTCCCCAGACTTATCCTCTGTCAGGTCGGTCAGACCAGGACTACAGCCGGGCCCTCAGAGGGCTGCAGAGTACGGGAAAAAATGCAGAATCAGGGCTTCCCTGGTGGCGCAGTGGTTGAGAATCTGCCTGCCAATGCAGGGGACACGGGTTCGAGCCCTGGTCTGGGAAGATCCCACATGCCGCGGAGCAACTAGGCCCGTGAGCCACAACTACTGAGCCTGCGCGTCTGGAGCCTGTGCTCCGCAACAAGAGAGGCCGCGATAGTGAGAGGCCCGCGCACCGCGATGAAGAGTGGCCCCCGCTCGCCACAACTAGAGAAAGCCCTCGCACAGAAACGAAGACCCAACACAGCAAAAATAAATTAATTAATTAAAAAAAGAATGCAGAATCAGAACCTGGTGGTGCAAAGGGACTCTGGTGGCAGGAGAGGCCCCCTCATGAACTAGGTGCCCAGAGGAATGTCCTGACCCCTGGTGACCCCTGGTTCTTGGCGTGACACTGAGAAACAAGGGCTTCACCAGCCACAGAGGTCAAGTGGAAAACGAGCTCCCAGGGATGGGTGTCCAGCAGACCCTCCTCGCGCCCACTGCAGCCCCCAGAGGGGATGGAGCGTGGGGCCAGCCTGGGAAGGGGAGCCCACAGCACGGGCTGTCCGCACCCCTGCAGTGGCACACAAGAGAAGCACCCAGTAAAGCTGTTTCCTCGGCCCTCTGCCCGTTGAGGGCCAACCCCTCCTCTACCCGTCCCCCCCAAAAACAAACTCTACACAAGGCACAGTCATCCCAGTACCCTACCCCGACCTGTCTGTGAGCACCTGGGGGGCAGGGATCGCCATGGTCATCTCACCTCTGGAGCCCAGGCCAGCCCAAACACACAGGAGGGACTCAGTGAACACCATCTGCCCCATTCTATAGGAGGGGAGACTGAGGTCTCTGGAGAAGGAAAATGACCCCAAGAAGGGAGTCATCCCCTCCCCTCTGTGCTCTACCCCAGGTGGCCTTGTAGAACAACCATCTAGGCCTGTCTCCCTGAGCAGCTTGTGAGCCCCTAGAGGGCAAGGACAAGGTCTCAACGCCACTGTGCCAGGGTCTGGCACAAACAGGACCTCAGTGAATGGAAGGATGAACGGAAGGATGTGTGGGTTAAGTGGTGGCTAGTGGATGCATCCCAAATGGGCACGTGCATGTGCTAGGCAGGTAAATAAGAGCTAGACACCTCAAGACATGGAAGACCACGCAAGTGGAGACATGAACAGGTGGACGGGAGGTCTGGCTAATGGATGAAAGGATGGAGAGGTGGAGCTGTGCCTCAATGAATGCAGTGGTGAATGGGTAGATGGGTACAGCCAAGGTCACCCAACAAGTCAGGGCCAGCAACAATGGAAGGATCAGAGACCCTGCCCTGAGACCAGGCCCACAGCCACTAGACAGGACAGCAGCCTTTAGCGAGGGTGAGGCACTCACCTTTACCTGGAGCTGTGGGGACGAGGTTCCAGGGGAAGGCGCAGGGCTCTTGTCTCCAACCAGCACGAGAGGGGTGGGAGCAGCGCCACTGCAAGGCTTGGCTGGAGGGGGACCTGGGCTGCCCCTAGTACTGGGGGCAAGGCCAGGGCTGGCTTGAGGTGTCTGGTCCACACTGGGCTGCACCAGCTCCCCAGAGGAGGACAGGGAGGAATTGGCAGAGAGGCTGGCCGAGGTCCCAGGGCTGCCCGGGGCATGGACAGCAGGCTCTGAGGAGCTCTTGGGCACAACTGGCGGCTCCAGAAGCTCCCCACTTAGGGGCTGGCTGGAGCTCTCGGATGACAGGCTTTCCACGCTGAGGGCTGGCGACGGGGTGGCTGAGGGTGGCTCCGAGTGTGACAGGCGGGAGGTGTGGAGAGCTGTACAAACACACACACAAGTGGGTGCCACGTGAGGGGGCACAGTCAGGCTTTTCGGCCTCACCTAACACGCTCCACTCTCGACAGAGCTGCAGGCCCTGGCAACCCAAGTCCTCCACATCCAGACAGGCAAGAGCCCAGAGGACAGCAAAGGTGTGACTGGACCAAGGTCACTGGCAGACAAATCATCCCAAGTCATCCTGCGCTCCTCGGGCCCTGGCATGCGCCTCGTCAAGGTCACTGGCAGACAAGTCATCCCAAGTCATCCTGCGCTCCTTGGGCCCTGGCGTGCGCCTCGTGGCACGTCGCAGCCCTGGTTTCCTTACGGCCCTCGCTTCCCCATCCAGCGTGGCTGCAGCCTCCACTTCCCCTCCCACGTCTGATGTGACCCAAAGCAAAGCCAAACTGAAAAGGCCAAAAAAAAGCCTTGCTTCTGTCTGCCTTCTCTGCCTCTGACCCGAGCAGAGGTGGGAGGGAGGGCAGCAGGAGAGGGAGAAGCAGGCAGCCCTGGCGGTGGCCAGCGCCAGGCCAGGCACTGCCCTGTGCCAGGTTCATCCTCATGCGTTGAGGGACACCATGCTTCAGAGTATCATCTGCGTTTTCCCAGGAGGCAACAGACTCAGAGAGGAGAAGGGCTGGGACTGGACCAAGCTGTGTCCGACTCAGAGCTCATCCCATTGGCTGCATCTCCCACCCGGCAATCACCTCCAATCAACTAACCCACCACGCTCAGCTGGAGGGTCCCAGGGCACCAGCAGGGGCCGGAGAGGGGTGCCTGGGCCACCTGAGCACCGGCCTCCGGTCATCTCTAATGTGCCCCCAGACCCACTGTCTGAGGGGCTCCCACTGAGGTCTCAGAGGCAGCTGGACCCCAGCCATGGTAGAAGGTGGCCAGGCACAGGGCTCGAGAAGATTGCAAGACGGTGAGAGGGAGGGCTGGGCGGAGGGAGGCACAGTGCCTGGGAGCTGGCCCACCACCTCCATATCCCGGATGGGGAGACGGGGGACAGACACAGGGGACGAACTGCTCCGAGCCACTAGCACCCGAGCCACGCAGCCAGGTCAGAGCCCGAGGCGCCTGGCAACTGGAGGAGTGACTAGATGGGCAGGGCTGGAGCTAACCCCTGCCCAGCGCTTTCCATGAGCCTAACTCGGTGTTACGCACATCGATGGATAACACGTTTAATTCTCACAACCGCCCTGTAAGGTGGGTTACAAAGGGTTAAGAGTATAGTCAGGAGTCTGGGTTCAAATCCTGCCTCCACTGCTTAAGCGCTGTGAGGCTTTGGGCAAATCACTTACCCTCTCTGTGCCTCAGTTTCCTCACCTACAAAATGGGGTATGATACCTACCTCACAGGTTTGCTCAAGGATTAAGGACAGACATGACACACACGGCACCTGGCCTGGAGGGGATCCTGTGGCACCACGTGCCCTTCCCTGGCCCTGGGCTGACCCAGGTGCCCAACCCGAGTCCCAACTGTCAGGAGAGCTCCCGAGAACAGCACTCACCAAGGGGGGATGCACTGGGTGCTCGGGGGGCGGGGCGCTTCTTTGTCCTGGGGCTGCTCGTGGGGGTGATGCCATACCAGGGGTGCAGGGACTTGGGTGTGGACTCCGGGTGAGTCGGGGCAGGGCCGGTAGCTGCACGGGGTGCAGCTGGGGGCTCTTCCTGCTCCTCCTCGAAGGGGTTGTAGGGCTTGGGCTCCGGGCCAGCCACCTCATGCACACCTCCGTTCTCCACCTGCCTGCTGTCCCGGCCCGGGGGTGCTGGCCCGGGGCTGCTGCTCGGGGGCAGGGGGGCTGGCTTCTTCTTTGGCTCTGCCTGCACCAGTGTGATCCATGGGGGGTCTTTCCTGGGCGCTGGTGTCCTGGACAGAGGCAGGAAGCAGCAGAAGGCATTAGGAGGCAAGGGGGGGCAGTGTCCTTCTCTCCCCAGACAGTCTTGAGTGCAGCCCACAGGGCGTGGATGAGAAACGGCACCCTCCTCTCCCACCCCAGCCCAGTGGGGCCAGTCTGGGCCCAGAGCTGAAACAGAAAGAAGGGGGCCTCTCCCTTCCCCTTCCTCTTCCTCTGTCTCTGTCCCTCTCTCCCCCGCCCTCTCTCTCATGGACCATACAGGGGAAACACAGCTCCCAAAGAACAGCTGGGAATCCATGTCCTCGCCTGTGACACAGGGTCCCAGGGCTGGAGGATCTGAGCCAGGTGTACAGCTGAGCTTTACTGGGTCTTCTATACTCTGCTGCCGATTTGCACAACGACTCTAGGAGCGAGGCCTAGGCCTCCCTCGTTCCACAGGCAGCGTAGGCTTGGAGGGGTGAAGGGACCCCAGAGGCAGCCGTCTCCACCAGGCATTGCTGCCCACAGGAGAGGGGGTCCCAGGGGAGCCACAGGGAAGGGGATATGGGCACAGGCTCCTGCCCCCAGAGATGAGCCCCACCCCTTCTCGGGAGGGTGTGCTGGTGGGTCACATGGCCTTGTTACCCGCGCAGACCCCAGGGTACTCCTCCTCCCCCTACCAGGGCCCTGAAACCCCTCAGGGCCAGCATACCTCTCTGACAGCTTGGGTGTCCCTCTGGGCTTGGGGATGGGGGGCTCATGCAGCTTCCCTAGATGGGACAGGAGAGTGAAACAGGTCTTCATGGGCAGCTGTGAGCCGGGCAGCACAGTGGGGCACCCAGGGAGCCAGCCCAAGTGCCTGCCTTACCAAGGATGCCCTTCCGTCCCACCTGGCAGGTCATGGACTCCAGGTGGCCATGGCAACCTCACCTGCACCCTCCTACCTCCCCAGCCCAGCACTCAGGGAGATTAGATAAACACCAAAGGTGACACATAGAGAAGGTCAAAGGGGCAAGGCCAGGACACCTAGAGACCCCATTCGTATTTCAGTTAAGAAGGGGGGGGGGCTTCCCTGGTGGCGCAGTGGTTGAGAATCTGCCTGCCAATGCAGGGGACACGGGTTCGAGCCCTGGTCTGGGAGGATCCCACATGCCGCGGAGCAACTGGGCCCGTGAGCCACAACTACTGAGCCTGCGCGTCTGGA